GATGAAGTTGTTGGCAGCGGACGTGTCTGTCAAGTACATACTCATCTTACTGAGTTATTCAGTAACATGACAGAGATCTGTGATACTGACATGAGTATTATGATGCTGTTCTTCAGGAAGCTACAGCACATCCTTTCTCTAGAGTATGTAATTATGATCTGTTTATAGTAAGTTACTTGTAGGAAATTAGTGACTTAAGGAAATCGCTCTTCCTTGGCACTTTATGATTTTGAAAAGAGATAGCGAGGAAGATAAACAACATGATTAGCTCACTGTTTGTGAAAATGACTTTCAAAATGTCTTGGGTTTTGAAGACACAAAGTTTGAAGCTAGACATTTCATGCAATTTGAATGCTGCAGAAACTTGAGGAGAGAAAGAAAGAGTGCAAGATAGAGAGAGAGAGATGGGGGGGGGGGAGGAGAGAGAGAGAGAGAGAGAGAGAGATGGGGGGGGGGGAGGAGAGAGAGAGAGAGAGAGAGAGAGTGAGAGAGAGAGCGAGCGAGAGAGAAATAGAGAAAGAGAGAAGGAGGGAGGGGGGGGGGGGGGGGAGTTAGTTAGATAGATAGATAGATAGACATAGATAAAGAGAGAGAGAGAGAGAGAGAGAGAGAGAGAGAGAGGGGGACAAAGACACAGTTTGAATGCTGCAGAAACTTGAGAGAAAGAAAGAGTGCAAGATAGAGAGAGAGAGAGAGAGAGAGATGGGGAGAGGGAGAAAGAGAGAGAGAGAGAGAGATGGGGGAGAGGGAGAAAGAGAGAGAGAGAGCAAGCGAGAGAGAAAGAGAGAAGGAGAGAAGGAGGGGGAGCTAGATAGATAGACATATAGATAAAGAGAAAGAAAGAGAGAGAGAGAGAGAGAGAAATGGAGAGAGAGAGAAATAGAGAAGAAGAGAAGAAGAGAAGAAGAAGAATGTGATGTGTTGATCATCTATTAAAATTCAGAGGGGTATTTTTATCTATATCATATCATAATGAGTCATCATCCTTCTGCTTCTCATAGGAATATAGATAAACAGAAATAGAGATAGGGTTATGAGATGTAAGACAAAAAGATGGATAGAAAGAAATATGAGATGAATGAAGATCAAATTTAATTCTGGAAATTACCCCAGATTTCTCAAAATTTTTCACTATTTCCCTGAAATTTCCTGAACTTTTGACTCTAGATAGTTGAGGGTTCTTTCTCCTTCAATATGGATCTCCCAATTTCCAGATGAACCTGATCTCAACATTTTATTTATATTTTTTAATTGGAAATTAATTGGTTTTCTAGCCCAGCTGCAGAGAATTCAATATTTGTTTCTGAAGATGATGTTTGTATCTACTATTTTCTGTGACTATTGCAAATTTAATCTGGTAGGAACCAGAATTAAGGGTGTTAATTTATTTTCTTTCATACAGAGGTGATGCCCTTCTGGCGCTGAAAAGACAATATCATCCGTTGAGAGCAAGAGAGGTGTCATTTCTTATGTAGCAAACATTACACATATTTGAAGGATACAAAGATTTGTTTTGTATTTAAACTGCTTTCCGTCAAGAAAATTGATTTAAAACTTAAAAGACTAATAGAAATGTTATAGTAGAACACGGCCACAATTTTTTTCTCAGAAATAAGTCAGTTTTATAAAAGTTTGAGGCAATTTAGTGCTGACGCCCTTTTGCTTAACGCTTCATTTTTACCTGAAATTAGATCTATCGCCTTTCTGCCAGCCAGACGACGACATATCTACATGATTGTTATTTAAAAATATGCATTGAAAATTATTTACCATATGGTAAAATAGAATTTGTGGTTTATTCAATCATAAAAGAGATATATTGCTGTGACTATACATCTGTCAGTCACTTTGACGTGCAATTTGCATTACTGAATAATAACTTTTGTTTACTTCTGCATGTACATCATGTATGTCAGCTTCTCACTTTAATAGTGTCAGTTTACCGTTTTAAATAGAAGTATAGTTTATTAACTAGTATTAGTAGTGTAGCCTGAATGACAATGTTTGTTTAAATAGTCACCTGTAGGTAATTTTTGTATTTTTTCCCTAATTACTTTTAAAATGCACTTGGTATTTGAAAGCAAAGATGGATATTCAATTCTTTTAGCTGTCTTAATGTTTTGTTATTGTTTGTAAACATATACCAATTTAATGCACAATTCAACAATATCCATCATTTCAGTGATAAACATGAGTAATTGACTTTAAACACATTGTGAGAAATGCATGAAGAACCAATATGCATGTCATTTACATGTACATTGGGTTTAACCTTACTTACATAACATATAACTTACACAATCTATCTGTTCATAATTAAGTAGTTGGCCTGGTTCATAAAACTTAACCCTTTTCATCTCTTGTCTAAAATATATTAATAGTTTATTCCAGACAAGGTAGGCCAAGCATTGCAAGGATTAGTTGAAGCAAGTAATTTGATTTCAAGTGCTTATGACACATCCTTGCACAAATACAAACGATATCTTGCATACTTGTCAATGTGGGTTCAATGTGGGTGCATCATTATTTATCTAGACTGAACAGGAATATTTTTTCATGGTCATTTATTATATTACATTATTATTTTGTTTATCAACCGTAGCTATTAAAAACTAACATTAGTTTAAATATGACACCAATTGTGGTTTGTCAATATCAGTGAGGAGACAAGAGGACTGATGGGGTCTTGCTGCAGCACCCTCATTCAGAACATACTAAATAGTTTAATATGATTCAGTGAATTTGTTTCCCTTTTTTAAACTTAGAAGTTGAAATTGCATTTGTAATTGCATTGTAACTATTGAGAATATGATCTATGGGTGTTAGCAGCTATGGCCTATAAGACCGAGGACCCAAGAGACCGGCTACCTCTCAAGACCGGTCACCTCTCAAAACCGATGGGTCACAAGACCGACAGCCCACATGAATGACATGTCAGTCTCTTCGGTCTTATAATTACACTTTTTACATTTCGGGAAGGTTTACAAGACTTTCATTGTCGGTCTCATGGTCTGTCGGTCTAATAGCCTGTCAGTCTACTGAGGTGTCCACAGCTTACACATCTCTAATGTGTCATGGATGTCCCAATTTAAAAAGGATGTCCATCACAGCCATTGCTGTATGAATAATTGACGCCTAGCGGATGCTCACTGTGAAATTTGACAATAAATCATCCACAACCAGCTGAAATAACAAATATCCTGCAAGAAATACAAAAAAGATAGAGATAATTGGGTTTTAGAGAGTGGTGTTATCATACGGTCCCATTAGATTGTATTCATGTCTTGTGACTTGCACCGTCCTCTATCACTGTGAAATACTTTTGTGCCCAGTTCATCAGTTAAGAATGGTTCACACGCTACATGTACATGATACACCCCTTTTAAAAAAAAAACTGCCGCAGGAAAATTACAACTGCTTTCCTTGAAAATAAATGGCAAGTACACTTAACAGTTTAAAAAAATGTGTGCAACAAAGGGCCCCTTTACTGTGTTTTTGGTAGGTCATACAGAAATGAATATTGATTCCAGTTTATTTTGCTGCAGCAATACGTTTCTTATGCAGTTGACCACGGTATACATACATGTACTGTGCGTGTGAACAAGGCTCCAGGGTGTGTCCACACTCCATTCAATGCTCATTCCCTTGAGCTTTTGAAGTTTATTCCGTTATTGTCTGTGATACAGTTCAAGCGAGGGTTTGTTTGTGTTTGAGAATGAAAAGGAAATATATTTGATTGATTGTGATTTTTGATTAATTTTAATCTCCAATGAAAATGTTTTGAGATCAGAACCATAAATATTGTTATAACCAGCCTTCTATGTCATCTGGGATATTGAATCAGTACGATTGACAACAGTTATAAGGTTTGACATACGTATAGCCTTCATTGCTGAGATAATATTTTTAGTCTACAAGAACAGATGCTGTATATGGCTTTGAAAAAGAAAAGGGCCTAGCCCTATTTAGCTTGAAAACGGTTGAGTTTGAACTATCATATTGCTTTCATATTAAAGGGGAAGTCCATCCTGATATCAAGTTAGTTTAAATAGAAAGAGAAAATGAGAGGTATGAAGTGAGTCTGGATGGACTGGGCTTTCTTCTTTCTTTCTCTCTTTCTAACCCTAATATGAAAGGGGTAATATTTTGGTCAGTTGGGAATTGGTTTGGAAGTTTGGCAGTGTGACTGAGTACCAAAGTGTACCTTAGTCCAAAATATGGGCTATGTTTAATAAAACTTGATATCAATAACAAGTTATAATGATTGTTATCAGCTACTGGAATGTTGGCATCTGATTGGCTGAGAGCGAATTTGTCATAGAAATGTATTATTGTTATTATTTAATGTTATGAATGAGGGCCCTGGCTGATTTAATTTCTTTACAATCTTCACCAATGTAACACGATGTTCCTCTATGCTGCAAGCCAAAGATTTTGCATGATCCCAAAAATTAAATGCGCGGTGTAGAGGCTGGGCGTACCATCGATACGCATGGATTCATGGATCACGCCATCTTCGGCTTGCATCAGTTAGGGGATGGGAGAGATCGTGAAACAAATAAATACCGTTCAGATTATGGACTAAGTGTACCTATGCATGATATATAGTACTTTGCTCCTGTAGTAGCTGTGGAAATGTCGAAGTAGGCCTAAGTGACAAAATGTAAATGCACTTATAACATTGTTCACTCGATTATAATGTCTTTTGCTGTGTTTATTCAGATTGAATAACTGTACATACACAAATCTGTTATGTATTTAACCTTCAAATTTAATCCAAATCTATATATATTTCCTCCAGCATATTTGTGTCATTTAATGTCACTTACACAAGGTCTCGTTCACAGATCCACATTCCGGTACTTTGATTTATGACACTGTCGTTTCCAGTTATTTATTTTTCTTACAGTAACAGCAAATAAGATTAAAAACCCTTTATTTTCTCAGCTCTTCAAACAAATTCATGTTTTCATTTGTCTCTTTCTTCCCCTCCGCTACAGATGAAAGGGACAAAATTCAAAAGAAGACCTTCACTAAATGGGTCAACAAACATCTGAAAAAGGTAAGTCGATTCTTCGCTTGTTTCTTCCACTCGAGGGAGACTATTCTCTGCCTCTCAAGTTTAATGTGGCCCTCGGGAGCCTGAGGATATCAATGTTTTATGTTTTCTTTGTCAACCCTTCCAATGTGTGTATAAAAACCCAACCCTCTTTTTGACGTTTGCCGAAAGGAAGGGAGTGATGATCTTTCTATGGCTTCACAAAGAGAGGTGTGCGTGGGATGATTCTCGTTTTCATGATAGAAATTGAGCAGTTCACCAAGATGATAAGGTCTTTAACTGTTATCAATCTTCTACAACCTGAAGTGGTTGTTAAATTTTACAGGTGATCTACAGATGCAATATATATGTTGTATGGGTATCCTTGTGGTTAACCTATTGCCTATAGGAACTGGATGGCTTCTGTTTTAAAGGCATCGTTTAACAATGTTAAATCTGAGATGCACGGCCTTACGTGCTACCAGCGTTAGTGACATGGTGTCATATTGAAGCCCTAAAAAAAATTGCGCTTCAAAATGATTCAAGAAGTGCCTCAAAAAGTAAAAATCTTTGAGTGACCGGTTACCATACTCGTTTTCCCCAATAGACTGTAGTGTTATGAAAACCCTTTGGCAAACACAAAATTTGGTTTCGATTTCCAATCATAAATGTCTTGATAATAATCAGACAGGCGATCGGCTTGTAAAAGTCATAGAGTTCCTGACTGACCTAAAGGTTTATTATTATCATTGCAGCATGACCTAAATCCAGGATTTTGTTTCAGAATCTGAGACAAAGTTACCGGATCCTTTTAATAAAGCCTATGGGAGTAATATAATCCAATCTAGGACTACATTAATCATAAAGACGCGAATTGGCAGACAGAAGTCTGCCCATTCTCATCTGAGGAAGACGTCTGAATTCAATTTTCCTTTTGGATGTGATAAAAGAACTTTAAACTCATTATCTAGTAGTCAATGGGTGAATTGAAGCAACCTTGAAAAACTCTTCCCCTTATAGTGGTAGCCTCATCAATCCAGTAGGCAGAAGTAACTGATCATAATTTACCAAAGTTATGAAATAATAATAATCACATTCAAATACTTACTTGATACTACATGTACATATATTTCTACGTGCTTTACGCGTTGATTGTTGGTAGTTGATAGTGATAGTGATAGCAATGGACAAAATTGGCTTTATAGTACTGTTTGGAATGATTATCTGTGTTTCTTCTGATAACTGTTAGATTACAAAATCAACAATTGTCTTCATCAGCATAATAATAGTTTCTTAAGTATATATATAATCTCCAAGCTACTGCTGCTGGTTCTCGTTAAATCTCTGTCACGTTGTAACTTCGAGATTCAACCATACATGTATTTGAAACAGAGCCATTAATTTAGGCAAATGTTGATCTGTGTTATTTGCCAAGCCAGATAAGGAAGTTTGGTATCTTGGGTTCAAGGAATTTCATGTTCAGCATTAAAACACTTATTGATTATTGAGGAAAAAAACATAACACCACCTCTTAGGAATGAGCAAATATGTTTGCTTTTAGTTGGATAAAGTCGGTAGTGATAGCAAATAGACAAAATTTGCTTCATAATAGTGTTTGGAATTATTATCTGTGTTTCTTCTGATAAAGGTTAGACTACAAAATCAATGATTGTTAGTCTTTATCAGTATAATTATAGTCTCTTAAGCATATATACTGTATACTATGTAATTTCAACTTCAATTCATTTTCAATTTATTTTAATTTATTTCCATTTTCAATAAAAACAATACAAAGATATATACAATAGTAAGCATTTGCAATAATAAAAAAAAAAAATCAATCAAAAATAAGGGGGGGGGGTGGAGGCCAAATGACTTTGTGGAGGTCAAATTGGTCATACATGTAGTTTAATATTTAATTCATATGAGGGCCAGCTTCTGAATGTACACCCAGACAACTATATTCCCCTTTCACATGTGTAATGCACTTTCAAATAATTAGTGAGTTACTTCTGTCTGTTTAGATCCAGAGGGCATAAACTCCTATCATTTTACACAGAGTGAATGCTTTTCTGGCTCCAAACAGAAGCTAACAGAAGCTATTATCTCGAGACTCATGAGTGATATGCTTTGTGGATATTGTTGGCTGTCCGCAAGAAGGTCGTAAGAACTACATGTATGTGCATGTATTGTCAATGGCAGTGATGGCCTTCTCCCAGACAGCCTGTGTGTTTGATGTTACTTTAATTAGTTGAAAGTGGTCTCGGGAGGAATGATATAAATATTTGATGGAATAATTTCATGAATTGACCAAGACATCATCAAACAATCCTGCCTCTCCATATCCATATCAACTTATTCAAACACAATTAGACGCTTCTCCATTAGGCCTAGCAAGCTCTGGCTTGAGCTTAAGATAAAAGACTGATCAATGCTTCTCAAGAAGATATTGGCATCAATACCTCTGTCATGCTGCCAGACCATCTCCAAAACAGCTCTAAACTGACCAATTCTTGTTGTGTTTTTGTTATTTAAATTTGGTCAAGCATCTATCTGATCAGTGTGACTTAGTACATTGTACATACAGTTTCCAGTTTTCATAAGTCTGTCCAGGGACTGTAATGGCTCAGGAATGTAGCTCAAGATAAAGGATAGTGAGTCTTCACCGGTTAATTAGCTGGCTATTTGATGAATTGTGGATTATTTTATAAACATGTAGTTTGAATGGGATAATAACACAAAGGTGAAATAACCTCCTCTCTCTAAGTTTCCTGCACATTTAGTTTCATCTCGTTGTGATTGGGCTCATTTTCCATATAATCAGAATGACAGGCTAATGAAGAATGGTGTATCATGTCTTGGGGAGACACTAGGGCTGCTGTCTTGGTTGCTATGGGAACCAGTATAAACACTTTCATGGTTCATGGATTCGCTGGGTTGGGTTCCATCTTGTATTTCCCTGTTTTCTTCATTCCTGTGCAACAATAATGGACTGGATTGTTTGAAGTCGGCACTATGTATTCCCGATTTATCAAAAAATTGAAGCAAACCTGTATCTAAAAAAAAGGATTCTGTTAAAATGCGGTGCATTCCAGTTGTATAGTCTTTATATTTCCAAAGAGTCTTTATCGTGCTAGTTTCTGTATTTTTGCTTTAGATGTAAATTGCAACACATTCAGTAATGTTGAAACATAAGTTGGAATGATGGAAATTGTATGTTTCTGATTAGTGATTAGAGCGGGGGTATATTCACCACTGTACAACCTGTACATGTTCATCAATTGATTTCTGTTAATGATTCTGATTTTGTTAATCAGAGCATAGCTTTTCTGCTTTTGAATCAAATATCTAATTGCTTGAATGAATTCAGTGTTAACACAGCAGAACGTAATTCATGCCACTTTGGCGCCCTATCCAGTCCTCAAATCAATCACAAGTTTGCATCCCCTATCTCTTTAATATTTACATTATTGATATCAATCGCAAATAACTTGCAATTAATATCAACTCTTTATGCGACAGGCCCTTTCCAACTTAAGGTATTCCTGCTGGAGATACACTCATTCACATTAGTGCGAACATAGCAGAATCATATTTCAGAATGTATACTTAAGTTATATACATATCTGGATGTGCAGTGTGAACATAGCAGAATCGTATTTCAGAATGTATACTTAAGTTATATATATCTGGATGTGCAGTGTGAACATAGCAGAATCATATTCGGAATGTATACTTAAGCTACATACATATCTGGATGTGCAGTGTGAACATAGCAGAATCGTATTTCAGAATGTATACTTAAGTTATATACATATCTGGATGTGCAGTGTGAACATAGCAGAATCGTATTTCAGAATGTATACTTAAGTTATATATATCTGGATGTGCAGTGTGAACATAGCAGAATCGTATTTCAGAATGTATACTTAAGTTATATATATCTGGATGTGCAGTGTGAACATAGCAGAATCATATTCGGAATGTATACTTAAGCTACATATATATCTGGATGTGCAGTGTGAACATAGCAGAATCGTATTTCAGAATGTATTTCAGAATGTAAATCTTTGTTCAGATTGCTTGTTTTATATTGAACTAATTAATTTGCTTATGATGTTGTAAAAATTGTTCCTTTGTATAATGTTGTATCCAAGTATTACCGTCACCTTTTCCTTTTTAAAGGAATTGGAGCACATTCTGTACACTTGTTTTGAAAGTGTACTTTATTAGTTTGGATACAAATGGAAAATATTTTTAAAATATGTCTGTGTTTATAATGTATGAGACAATGTACTACATGTATGTTTATACTGTAAGAACAATTGTGTTCCTATTCATCATTTTGTATAATTATGAAGATCTGAATAAAGGCAAAAAAGCTTTTAAAAAAAATAAAAAAAATACTTGAGTTATATATATCTAGATGTGCAGTGTGAACATAGCAGAATCGTATTTCATAATGTATACTTAAGTTATATATATATATCTGGATATGCAGTGTGAACAAAGTATAATTATGTTTCCCTCACACACCATAGCACCTGAAGGTTTTATTATTCTTATTCTCATGAACCAAGGTGAAACCTATTTTTAAAAAAAATTCAAGCTGTAGCACCTGCAGATCATTTCCGGTTTTTTAGTGCTGCTGAACACACCCAGTTCACTTCAGAGAGGGAACTGGGTCAAAGCGAACATGAAACCAAAGAGATTAGCCCAGAAATCATGAATGAAATAAGATCGTATTGAATGGGAAATTCCTGCAAATTGCTTGCCAACTTTTAATGATTATAAACATATCAAGTGATAGCCTCTCAAAAGTAGCCACATGATAGCGAGGTTTAAAGGGTGTGTTGTTCCATGAGAAAATTGCAATGAATTAAGTAGAAATAATAGATTTCTGTACATGTGCATGATCTGCTCTAATTGTGCGCAAATTTATTTCTCCCTTCTGGTGACTTTGACAAAATTGTACAAATTTCGACTTACGAACCTTGGTTGTTAAAAGTTTTAATCTGCGTTTAAAACATGAATAAAAAGAAAGTACATATATCAACCTAAGTATTTTAAGAGTTGAAAAGTCTTACATTTATCTTAGCTTTAGGCCTTTGTGAATTAGTGAATGAGTATTTTTCGAACATGTTTCTACTCTTCTTTTTTCCTTCTTCCTCTTTATTTCTTCTCTTTTCCTTCTTCCTCTTTATTTCTTCTCTTTTATATTCATTCTATCTTTCTTCAATTGTCCAAATTTCTTTGTTGAATACATATATTTTCTCCTTTTCTTCTCTATTGTGATTCATGTGCACTTATGATATAGTCTATTAGGAGCCAGAAGGTTGCTAACTCATACATGTACCTTTGCACAGACTTAATCCATTACCTGCTCTGACCAGAAAAAATATTAAAACAATATTTGTCATGAATATAATGTTCAATAAGATGCATTTCTACCACCAAATGTGCCGAACATATGCCAATAAGACATTTACAACCACAATAGGCACTATTCGTAATCATGTTATCAAATTTAATGTACAAATCTTTGTTAAGTGCCTCGTTACAGCTTT